CCCCCCCCCCCCCCCCCCCCCACCGGGCGCGGGCGGGCCGTTACCCCCCAAGCTAGACTACAAAGCGTGGTGACAGGTGGAAGCCGCGCGGAGTACCTGGCGGGACCCAACTTGTAGACACTGCTGACGTTTGGAAGAACAGCTACGACATGGTGAAATTTCGCACCTCTTCCGCGGCTCCGGAGGATGCTGCGTAGTTGACGATCACGCTGCACCCCGCGCCGGCGAGGTCCTTCGCGATTGCGGCACCCAGTCCGCGGCTTGCTCCCTAATCTCGCAAAACGGCCATCAAGGAACACATACATACCGTCGATTTCCATTCGCTGAAAACCTTGCATGCACTGTTGTCTACAACCATTGGTGAGAAGGCATTCTTGGTAATCCCAGATGGTATTTTTCTCTTTTGGAAGGAAGACCGTGAGTTACAAGCAGCGAGCGATGGTTGATGAGAATCGGACCACAAAACAAAAAGGTCCGAGAATATGTGCGAACTGTTCTGCAAGCGAACGAATGGGGAATCCTCGGATGCCTCCGTTTCTCTGGCAAGACCTTGGCGCAAGTGCGTGGGACTACGATTTGCTAATTCCCGTGCCTGGTAGGTTCTGTACGCAAGGAACCAAACCATCCCTCCAAACGAACCGGTGTACCTATGACACACGGACACGAGACTGACATTTCATTGGTCCGAGCGCAGTGGATGCTAATTAAACAAGCACTTCTGCTGTGTGACAGAGGGGATCGTCGGGCAATTTTCCACGATAATCAGACATCTCTTCGTCGATGCCAACGCGAACGGAGGGGATCGTCCTTGACAAAACGTTGGGCAAAGGAGGCCGTTTATAGGTCATCTCCGCAACATCGACAACAGCAGCATACAGCAGTCCGCGTATGTATGCATATGCTGTTTCACGTTTGTGTGCCATCGCATTTGTCCTCTCAAAGAAACCAGAACGTGTAAATCGCACGCCCTCTCCCTTGCCCACTTCCAGCACCGACAAAAAAGGCATGGTGCAGGTATGAAACATGCATGTGATTGCCGCAGAATCGAGGCGGTCAGTGTCCGGTCGCTCATACATATATTCATAGAAGAAGCGGTGCAACTCGCGTTCATGCTTGCAAAACGGACTTGTGCATGCACTTGCAAGCCATGCCTACGGCTGCCAAAAACACCAAAACGCCTCCTACGCACAAATGAACTTGGTTCCCCCGATGCTCCCCCTGGTCCTCACCGTGACGATGGCAATGCTCATCCGCGGACTGCCCCCCACAGCAGCAGTCGAGAGACCAGCGCGCGCCGCCGGTTGCGCAAAGCTGCTCCTCGCTGCAGGAGGCACAACGAAGGCGCGAGCGTACCCTGCCATGCACGCGATGGAGAGAGTGGCCAGCTTCATCTCTTTTACTGCTCCCCGTGCGTCCTATCTAAAGCTTTGTCTGTGTGTGCGATGTGTGAAATGCTTGTGGTGTGCATTCGACACGCGAAGAGGCCGAGAACCAGGGGGGGCACGAAGATGGCGGTACGGGGGGGGGGCATGAGAGTACCACAATGCACCAAGGATCTACCAACAAGGCACATCATACGAGAGGTTAAAATATCGGGATTGCGCTGGCCACGCAAAAGATTGCAATACGAAGACAGCACAAAGAAACGCACTACCTGGGGTAAATAAATCGAGAGACCCTTGGGGAGAGACGATGATCTGGGTTTAGAAACGGTATTTACTGCATCAAGAACCTTTGGAAACCCGTATTCCTCGAAAAACGAAGAACCGCGAACCGCGAACCGCCTCCACCTTCCAACCTACAACCTACGCATGGCAGCGTTCCCCGTGCGTTGTGGATAAGTTAGTCGCCGTGCTGCGCGCTGCAGTGCTGGTAGACTCGGCGTGGGTACCATGGTGGATTGGCCGAGGTCTAAGATGGACCAGTTCAGCAAGGAGTTTCAAGCTTTTGCGGGGAGATTCTCCGCCGTCGCAACCGACAGACTCGATCGGGTCGACGGGGGCACATACTTCTCTCGGCTGTATCAGGTATGTGCTTGTGTGTGTTCACATGATGGGCGCAGACCGAAGCACGGTCTAGAGTTTTCTCTTGGTAGTTATTAGTGGCTTCATGGTGACCCTCCTCAAGCGACAGGATGTCCATGCAGAAAGTTGGCGTTTGTCTTCTCCACATGAACGCCTTCGCATCCCATCCTTCCCTGATACTGCTGTAGTTCGAGAGTTCCTGCACTTGTACAACTCTTTCCACTGCTGTGCTGCAAAATATATGACGCCAATTTCACGTACTGCTGGCCTTATCGATGTTCGCTCGAACAGGTGAGGGAACAGGTGAGGGAACAGGTGAGGTGTTGTCCCTATAGCGCTATAGCGCAGATCGTATCGAACATATGGGGCCAGGCTCAAAGGAGCACGACTTCGACTCTCTCACACGTGCACCGCGCTCAATGATACTTCCTTTTGTCTCCCGTACACCGTGCCGCCCGATCTACGCTCCCATTCAATGCATGGAATGCACGCACAACCCCCACTGCTGCTACTCTGTAGACGAACAATACTACCGACGAGGAGCAGCGTCAGATTGGCACTCTCCTGGAGGAGCTACAGCTGGCGATGGAATCGCCGTTGTTGTTGGCGCCGCCCCAGGGAACAGTCCTCCACACAGGCATGGCCGAGGGAGAAACCGGTCTGGCCCTGGCCCGTCTCTGCGTCGCGCTCGAAAAGTGCCTCTTTTTTGGCGCGGAGGGGCCGATGCCTGATTTCTGGCGGGTGCTTGGCGGCGGCGCAAGTGAAGGTGGTGATGCTCGTTCTCCGGCCGCCGTTTCTTCTGGCGGTGACCTCGACGGTTTCAACGGCCAAGGAAACAAGGCTGACGTCGGCTCTGGCTCCGAGGAGGGCGGGGACACCGGGGCTCGGGGTGAGAGAGCGCCTGACCCACTTGCTGCGGTCGTTGGTAGGCTAACGCGCGTTCACACGGGACACGCTCGGTGCCGGGCTTGGGCGCGAGGACTCTTCGGCGTGGACGGGGCGTCCGCGGAGAGCGAGCTGCGGAGAGCGGTGGCAACAGCTGTACAGCTAACAAGAATTGCGACGGACGGCGCTGCGGTTGGCACGGGCAACGAGGGCCAGGGGGACAGAGCGTTGAACGATGCAATGGCATGTATACCTCCTTCCGAGGAACAGCTGGTCGACCATAGCAACGCCAGCCATAATACGGACCCCGACAAAGGTGGAGGAGGCGGAGGTGACGGCCCGACGAGTGGCAACACCAAAAGCGCAACAACTGTGCCCTTGGTAGCAGGAGAACGAATCGCCGTGTCCACTTTCGAGCGCGTCCACGACGCGCCGTCTTTTGCGGGTCCGGGGTCGGCGTCGACCCCACCGTCTCAGTTACCGCTGTGGCTACGTCCCGGTCGACAGGGCGCGTCGGTCGTTGACGAATTGTGTAGGATCGTGGTGGAGCTGAGCGGGCGGCTGAAGGAGAGAGGGCTGACTGTCCGACCGTCTCTGGACCACGCCTGGCTCGACCAGGAGAACGTCGCCGCGGCCACCACGTACACGTGGCCGCAGTTTCGCAGGACGAAGCTGCGTTGCTACGTGCGGGGAGCGGGACTCTCGGCGGCCAACGGCGAGTATTTGCCGGCCGAACGGCCGGACGACGGTGAGGGCGCGAACGTGTATGGCGGCGACAGCAGTGGCGGTAGTTGTCCGGGGCTGTCGCTGATTGGGCCCAACGGGTGCAGCATCTGCTGCCTACCCCACCCTGCTGCTGCCGCTGCTGCGGAGGAGAAGACGGTGATCCCCGGCGGCGATAGTGCTGCTGTTGGAGCGGGGGAGCCTGGTCCTACGCGTCGCGATCGCGGGGCCGCCAACGAGGAGGACGTACGTGCGACACCGCAGGCGGGCCCCCCCACCATTCCTGCAGAGTCCCCGACCACCACAACACCGGCGCCGGTCGCCCAAGTCTGGCACCTTCTAGTACCCTCCGCCTCTTCGCCCGAACTCGTATCAAAGAGAAGCGCGTACTACTGTCTGGGCGATGGACCGTTGCCCCCTTCCCGCGGGTGGAGGTCCGCCGACGCGACCGAAGCGCCCGCCCCCGTCTTGGGGTTTGCGACGCAGGAAGAAGACGACGGAGACGTGGCCGGGGCTGGGAGCATGCGTATCGGAAGGGAAAGCCAAACGCAGGTCAAAGGGGAAGAGGAGGCAGCAGACGCCGCCGCCGCGTTGTTCCGTGCGGCTGTGCTACCGCCCATCGATGATGAGCGTAGCGTTGGGGTCGGCGAGGTGGCGGCTGGTGGTGGTTCGACATCGAGAGGGGTGGGGTTGAGCACGGTAGCGGCCGGGGCATCCGTCGAAGCTGAAGGCTTGCTTGGCGGCGAGTCATCAGTCGCCGACACGGCAGCTGCAGGGAGCGGTAGGTTGAAGCGGCGTCGGAAGCGACAGAGGCCCCTGGAGCTCGTGGGAAACGCAGTACTGCGCACCGCTGAACAGGATTTCAGTGTCTTGGGGGAAGTTGCCGGCTGGGATCGTGGGGGTGATCGTGATGATGGAGGTGTTAGTCTTCGTGGTCGTGGTGATTGTGATGCTAGCGGCGGGCAGGCGCCTGGGGACGGTGTTGCCGGTGCACCGGCTGACTGCGGCGGGGACGATGAGGCGGTAGCCGCCTTCAAGGGGGAGAGGTGGAGACTGCCGTCGCCGAGTGGGGAACTACGTTCGCGAGTGGAGAAAGCGAGAGAGCTCTTGCTGCGGACAATGGAGGTACGCACTACAATTGCCTCGCCGTGCGGAACGTTTTGGAGAGCGTTTTGTCGGGGGTGGCAGCATCTTGCGGCTTTCCATGTTGTGATAGCGCCTCTGTCTGCGTGTTGGAGCCAAGCTGCAACAGGGTGGTATGTTTGACTATTGAGGGGATTTTTGCAAAACCGCAATGCTGAACCAACCACCCTCTTGTGCTGAGTGGTGGTAGGCACAGGCGCTTAATCGAGATACCCCTCTCCCTCGTGGTGTTCGCCAGGAACAAAGATCGATGCTGGCGATTCGACGAAGTCAGCTACAGGACCAGGTTACCGTTGCGCAACGGGAGCTCCACGAGGTAGGCGGGCACGGCGCGCCCGTTGTGTTCTCCATCCTCCCTTACGCTAACCTTTCCTGGCAGACGTGCTCTTGGCTCGCTGATATGGGGAGTGTTTTCGACGACCCTCGTTGTTGACCTAGGACTCCACCAATGATGCCTTAAGTCATGATACTCACTGTCATGTTTTTTTTGCTCCTCTCGGGACAGGTAGTGTGTATCCCACATCCCACATCCCACATCCGACCATCAGCTCATATTCCGCAATTTCTCCGCGTACAGGTGATGCAGGAGTCGACAGAGATCACGGCGGAGCGGTTGCTCTCGGCGAGACCTGGCCTCCGGGCACAAGCGGAGGCAGAAGTCGCCATGGCGAGAGCGACAGCCGCCGGCGCCGGCGCCGGCGCCGGCGCTGCCGCTGAGGGGAGCGGCGGCAGCAGCAACCCGATGGTCCCCTCGCTCGAGGAGCTGGTCGCCGAAAAGGCGGAGGAACTGCGGATCAGGGCGCAAAACCGAGGCCACGTGGATGCTTCAGAACGCCTTTCCTTCTCCTCCTCTTCCTCCTCCTCCTCTTCCTCCGGCCACTGGCTGGAAAACGACGACCAAGACCAACAGCCTACGGCGCGAGATCTGGGCGCGGTTCTACCAGCGGCGGTGACGGCGGACGCGGGGTGGCCGTGGCCGGTGGCGTGGCTGGCGGCTCCGACCGCGCCGCCGCCGCCGCCGCCTAGAGACCCCGAGGACTGGGAGCTGGGTTTGGAAGAGGGCGCGTTCGGCTTTGGTGTCGGCGTCGGCGCCGGGTTTGCCGGCAGCAGCGGCCACGGCGACGACTTTGCTGAGGGGGCGGAGGATGGAGCCGACCCTCCCGTCCCTTACTCGATCGAGGTGGCTGCGGTGGAAGTGGTCGACGCGGAACACTTGGACGAGGCGCATGTTGAGGTACGTCGGCCTTTCGTGCAGAGCAGGCCGGGGTAGTGGTGCGGGGATGAAAGTGACAAAGGAGTTTGGATTGTGGGGTTGTAGCGGCCAGCGCCTGCGTGCCATGCTTTGGTGGAGCGACAAAGTCGATCGTGTTCTTATGTTGTGTGCTTCCCAAGATATGCTCCGCTCGGGCAACGTGGCTTTCCAATAGCAAGTATTGTGCCTTTGAACCGGATGATTCCGCCTACATATTGTGCGCGACGGCGTCGTTAACCTTCTCCATCTGGTGCCACCGCGTCGCTGAACGATAATTCTGCTGTCCTTGTCCACGAATGCCATCCTTCGCCCACAGTACGTGCTGCGGCTCGTGTTCCACGAGGTCCAAGAGCAGCAGGGCAAGGATGCCGTGTCCGAGACACCGGGGTTGCTGGACCGAGGCAACGACAGCAGACGCGGTCGCCGCACGAAGACCACCGCAGTCCATTCGGACGACGACCGCGGGGCCGCTGAGCTGGTGGCGCTAGCCACCGCGGCGAAGGGCTTGCTCCAGCGCACCCGGGTGCTGAGCAAGAGGCTGAACAGCCTCTGCGCCCTCCACCCCCAGCTGATGTGGGAGCTGGAAGAAGCCCGGCGGCTGAGGTCGAAGGGGGAAGCGGAGGTCGAGATCGCGGCGGAATCCCTCGACTTTCCCGACCCGTTCGAGCTGGGGACTCTCGAGGTAACAATCTATTGGGTGTCCTCGTTGTGATTGATTGGTACCATAGGTGGAGACTGCTGTAGCGCCGCCTATCACTTTCCGTTTTTGTTGTGTCTGGTCCCATCTTCGGAAGTGATTCGTGCCTTTCCGGTGCTTGTTCAATTTTTTTGGGGGGGATTCTGTGATTTTGTGTTGTGTTGCAGGCGGTCGCCGGGCAGCGTATCTGTACAGGCGTCCGGTGCGAGACGAGAGGGGACACAGACCAACTAACTGCACGTGAATACAACTTTCCGCTGATATACGGAGTAGGAGAGAGCGACGACAACGGTTTCATTCTTATTGGGTTTTTTAGTGGGGCCTGGGAGGGTCCCTGGCCAAGGCACGGCCCCAAACATGGTTGGCATTGAACCACCCGTCAACTAAATCTGGGGCCTTCCACGCGCTCTCTTCTTTGCTCCCACGTGCGCGCAGGAAAAAATCTTGCGAGTACATTGCGACAAGCTCACTCCCAATTTCAAGGCCAACTCCCCCACGCGAAAGCTTGCGGCGCGGGTAGGGTCCTACCTGTCAGGCCTGCTTCGCTTCTTGGGCGTGCTCGAGGTGGGCTATTCAGGAAGGAGCTTACTCTCTGCTCGTGCTTGTTAAGAAGTTGTGTTATGTTGAAGGGTGCGTAGGCACGAGACGCAGCGCTTGCCGCTTCTGCGCTTTCACTTGGACTATTCTGCAGCTGTCGTCTGGATTCTTGCCACTTTGTTTATTGCTCGTGAGAGCTTCGTACCCCTCCGCTAAGAGGCGCGGCACACCCTGGGCTATTAGGCACACACCTGCTGTTTTGGATTCCCCCGTAGCCACACTCTTTGATGGGCTCGGGTCGCTGCCTTCGTGCCAAACGGCGCCACCACCCAAACACATGGCACGTTATCTTCTTCGCCCCCGGCCCCGTACATGCGATAGCCATTCCGTAGCACGCCCCCCCCCCCTCCCCCTGAAGGCACTCTACTACCGTTGTTCGTTACCCCCGCGTGTCGCCTTTGCCCGATGCCACTGCAGGCGGTAGGGGAGGCGGACGTCCGGTCGCGCATGTCGCGGGTGCTCCACGACGCGCTCTCCACCTGCGATCGGGTCGGCCGGAAGAGGCGGCGGGGCGACTTCGCCCTCGGCGTGAGGATCCGGGACATCGCCGGAGGAAAGCTGGGGTCCGGGGTTGGCGACGAGGAACGGCTCAGGGTTCAGAAGAGGAGGTGTGTGCGTGCGTGCGCGGGCGCGCGTGTGTGCATGCCTGAGGATATTGTCGTATGAAACGAAATGGCAGGAGCGCGGTAGCGGGACGGGGGGGGGGCTGGGGTACCTCTCCTTCTGCCCGAAGTCGATGTTAGTGTTTGGTTGTTCCGATTCCGATTTGATGACACATCTGGTATAAGCAGCGCTGCCTTCTGTTCCTCGAAGGGCTTTTCTACGGCCTCCAAGTGTTCCCGACCGCGTTTGCTATGGTCTGTCGTAAGTATGAAGGAAAACGATGGCACTTCCAGGCGCTTCGGTAAAGGATGAACGCGAAACAGGAGTTTCGAATGTCAAGACCCAAACACTTTTCCCGTGCACGGCGAAAGAGAGAGAGAGAGAGTGAGGGCTGACCGCCCGACCGATTACGAACGGTTGGGCAGGCAATGGAACGCCCGTTATAGGTGTTCGCACTCTGTTGCGTAATGTTCGGCATGTGTGCGTGCAACCCCTTGTCGCACCGCGCAGGTGCATGAGCTGCGGGCGCGCGATTGCGGCGGAGTTCCTGGGGATCAAGAAGGATTACTTCCCTTGTCGGTACGCAGATGGCCTCTTCTGCCGCAGGTAAGCGTGTCGTGCGACAAAGTTGAAGTTCAAGTGAGGTGCGGGCGAGGGGGGAGGGGGAGAGAGTTGTGCCCCTCTAGCCAGTGCCTCGTGCCGTGCTGTGACCTTGCAAGGCGCGCGCCCTGATGCCCTACAGCACTAACGATTTGTTTTAGGGGGGGCATTGTAGTCCCCCTTCATTTCTAGCACGCTGCTCATGGGCAGGTGTCAGGTGTTGTCGTAGGCCTCCACGCCACCTTTGTCCCACGTGACGGCCGCCCACGCACCACACTCGTTTGTGCAAGACTCTTGCCTCGCGCTCACGTTTCACCTCACCCTGTCGTTGATTCATATCTCCTCTTGTGACGCGGTTCAAGCCAAATCTAGATAATCTAGATCCTAAATATAAATGAACATCACATGCCGAGCATTTTCGTCGGCAGGCCAACAAACAAAACATCTACCCCCCGGTTAATGAAACTCAACGTTTTTATCTCCTCCCGCTGTCTCCGTGGTTTCCTCCCCCTCCCCCCCTCGCGCTCTTTATGACCCGTGGGTCGGCTGGACCTCAAACCGCGACCGCCTCTATCGCGCAGCTACTGCCACGCCGAAGATCGTCGGGTCATCCCCCACCGGGTGGTGCACCACTGGGATTTCGTCATGCACCGCGTCTGCAAGGACGCCCGGGTGTTCCTGGACTCTACGCGGTTCCACCCCGTGTTCGACTTGCCGGCCTTGTCCCCCACGTTGTTCACGCAGCAGCAGGTTCGTAGCGCTTCAGCAACCACAACTTGCAGTGTTTTGTTGGTTCTTTCTCGATTCTTTCTCGACGTGCTGCCGAGAGGTCCTCTCTTTTTTGTGTGCTGTGTGCCGCCTGGTCGTTTGAGGTTGCGGACGGATAGAGAGTTGACTGGATTGCGCCGGCGTGGCGTGGCCATGCCGCGGACGGATAGAGAGGGGGCGAATGGAATGAAGCAGACGCGCACCGCATGTGCACGCCGAATGCAATATAACGCACATCGATTGGTCAATATCCAGATGAACGTTGTTTGTGTGGATGTTGTGGCGCGGAATCAGGAGAGAGCACACACAAGAACGAGAGCTCGTGCTTCAAAAGGGACCGACGGTCGATTGATCGATTGACGAGGGTTGGAAACGCTCCCATGTTTCATGCTACTTGGTGTTTCGTGCTACGTTTCTTTGGCGCTGAGTTTTTGCAGATATAATAATCATGAGCCTCGCATCGCACGTACCTCATTGACCTTCAACAATCTGGCCTTTCGATCCTCTCTCCGTCTGACCGCACGATTTCACGATCTCCCCCGTCTGTTGATACCGAAATCATGGTGGATGTCAGTCCCTGCGAATGGTGCGATCGCGCAGGAAGCAGCTTCATCTCCTGCGCCGTACAATATTCTTTCCGGTGGAGAGCAAGTGCGTCCTCGGTGCTCAATTGTTTGACAAGCTTCTTGAGGGCAGGTGAGTGCGTGCGTGCGTGCGTGCGTGAGCGCGCACGCTTGTGCCCTCCCCCCCCCCCCCCCTTCCCAGAGTATGACAGTTCGTTTTTCTTTTTTGCCTCTTTCCTTTGTGTTTGTCTCCATACACGTTGTTGTCTCTGGGCGAAGTTCTACGTGTGGCAGTGTGGTAGTGGTGCCTTGTCGAAGGGTCTTGCACGTTTTGTTTTTTAATGTCGTATGCATACACCGCGGCGAAAAACTGTAACCACCAAAGCTGTTTTTACCCACACAAAATTATACCGCGCCTCTCCAGTTCAGAAGTATCATCGGCCGCTCCAATGCCCAACGCTGACACCCGCTTGCGCCGTGAGCACATCTCAGCTTGAGCAAGGAGGAGGGTTTCCAGGCAGGCGACAAATGACCCATCTGGTTTTGGCTAGCGCTCTAAAGACAACAACAACCTGTTACAATGCGGGGTTTACCTTCCCCCCCCCCTGTCCCGTCCTGCCATTGCATGATATTGCCGCTGCTTTTTTGTGTGTGTCACCCTTGCCCCTGTTGGCCAACACACACCACTACTACTAGGAAGTACCTTAAACGCTTTTGCCTCTTCGTACGGGACCGCTCGCTCGCTCGCTCGCTTTCCAGGGTTCACCTCGCCGTGAACCCTGGCCTGTATTCCTTAAAGGATCTCATGAGCGTCAAAAACGGCGACCTCCTGCACTTCCTCGAAGAGGTGAGCTCGTACTAAGGGATGCTTCTGATAAGATATTTCTTTGTTGTATCCACAGCAGCGGGGAACAACAAAAAAAAGTTCGGCATACAGAGTTTGTGTGCGCGGAGGTTTACGGCTTCCTCGGTTTCCTTAGCCGTCCGTCGCTTCAGTGCGTGTGTGCGGGAAGAAGAGCGCGAGCGGGATTCCGCGGTGGCATTTTGAGCGAACTGCTTGTCATCGTCGATATCGTTAAATAGTCGTGTTTTCTTTTTGTAGTGGGAGAATACCATCCATCGGGTACTTGGCCTGGCTTGTAGCAACAGGAGTTGTGCTGCAACGTCTTCTTAGGGCAACGTGGTGATGATTCGCGAGAATCGAGTCGGTTTCGACGGCGGAGATGACCAAGTACAAGCCAGTCCTATCCCCGGCTTTGCTCGGGACAACAAGGCTGTCTTTTGGCTCCGCTTGTGCAGCGCCTTGGGGGTGCTTCTGGTCTCGCGCAAGAAAGGACGGGCATGAAACAACGCCAGATATGGACCTTTGTGGGTGGATGATCACACGCGTACTTTTTCAAGTTGGGATTGATGATCAGATGTTCGGTTCCGACGAGCAAAAAGACAATCCCCTTCCTTCCTCCACCGCCGCTGTTCGCCGCCACCGCCCGCCCACCCGCCCCTCTTCACCCCCCCCCCCCGCTCTAAATGGTACGTTTGTCCCAGACCAATGAGGTTCTGGCCGCTCACGTCTTAGGCGGGTGCCATGTGTGCGAAGGCCGAGCAGCTCGTGTCTGCGAGGTCTGTTACATTGGCGAACCGGTCTTCCCGTTCCAGGCAAGCCTTACGCCACGCCTCGCTTGCTTGAGTCGGACATGACGGGAGTTCGTTCCACTGCCAACCTGTGTAGCTCGTTTAGTTTTTTCCTCCGTGTGTTGCATAGTTTAAGAACCCCACCATCCCTTGCTGCTGTTGCCGGGATGTCTACACCAACACGGTCGATTTTTTCTTTTTCCCAACCATATGTCGCGCAGTGCGCCAAAAAAGAGTTGCCTACTCGGCCACCACGCTCCCCGCTACAGCCGGTTACGCCGTTGGTCTGAAGGAGGTTGCGTTGATCGGTTGTACGCACCACCTCCGTGATTCCATGGCCCCGTCGAGGAGATGAACCTCTCAAAAATCGTGTTTGTTTTTGCTGCTCTCGTCTCGTTAGACGCCGTCTTGCTGCACCACATCCCGCTTGCACCATTGTGTCCCGATTCCCTTCCAAGTTTGGCAACTTTTGTTGACTGCTCTCTGCTATACGCCTCCATTTTTCTTTTTCGACGAACCAGATCGGGACGGTGGCGCGCTGCCCCAGCTGCGAGACCCTGTTTCACGCCAGATGCGTCGCGGGGAACCCAGCGCAACGGCAGACACAGCAGCAGCAGCAGAGCAAGTCTCCATCAGCAGCAGGAGGAGCAAGCAGCTCGTCCAAGCGGTATACCACCGCGCAGCCCGGCGGCGGCAGTCGGAAGTGGAGGTGGCCGGACCACCAATCGCAGGCTGGCGGGAGCAACAAGAAGGAGCCGGTCGACCAGGACGCGGAGACCGACGACCACGAGTTCGTGTGTCCGAAGGTACGGTAATGCGTGTCTTGGGGTGTGTATCTGCCCTGTCCTCTTTGGAGGTGTTCTTGTCTTGCGCGTTGTTTTCTTTTCGTGCCACCGATGGGCTGTAGCATGTGCGCCCGGACTAAGGGTCTGCCACTTACTTGCACTACGGAGGAGGTACAGGTCGTTTCAGGCCGTGCACTCACGTCGCTTCTGGCCGCCCAGAACGGGCCGATCCTGTGATTTCTCTGTTTTTGATTGATCGTCGCTGCTCTTGACTTGTTGTTGGCTGAGCCAGGGATAGCGTTGGGGCGAATCTCACGCCGTTCATTGAGCTTTGAAGGAAAAGTTTACCACCTCTCTTGCAGTTCGCATCTTCCCTAACCACCACAAACCATCCGCCCGCCCGCCCGCCCACCACCCTGCCTTTGACCCGTGCGTTTTCGCTTGCTGCACTTTCCTTTCCCCCGTGGCTCAGTGCAAATCGGTTGGCGTCTGGGAGGAGGTGATCGGACAATGATCGTGATTCGCTCGATCGAGTGGTCCTCCCAATCTGGTCCCCCAACTGCAGTTTGTGTGCTATGATATGTTGGGCGGCCGGTGTGAAAAGGAATAAATCTGCTGCAACAGAAGTGTGCAGAAGAGGCTGCACATCTACTCAGTGTAGGGACTATATGCGTTCTGAAAGCACTAAATGGGGTTGTCCGTCAATTGCTGACGATGCACGTGGACGAGTCCCGCGGAACTCAAGAACTCCCCACCCCCCGGAAGTCAGCCATACAAGAGACGACTGCGCTGGGCCTACGAGGTGGCTCGTGGCTCCCTGGGCAAGCTATTAGTTAGCGTGGGCTTGTTGGCGCGTTTAGCATGCTCATCTCGGATGGCGCAACCTGATTTTTTCTATGTACAAAATTTACAGCATCAGCGCGTCCGTAACCTGCCTGGAGTCGGGAGCTCAGCACTCCCCGAGAGCACCACAGCCGAAACCAAAGCAGAGGGTCTCGCCCACACACGTTCCTAGAGCCTGCCTGAACCTGGTCAGCACTAGACCACTGCTGTCCGTGCATGTACACAGGCAGGGGCGAAGAAGGCTCCCCGCAGCTATTTCGAGGTGGGTTAATTCGAGGCGGGCCAACCCCTACCCGTACATCACGTCGGTTCGGAGGAGGTACTTCACTCCGGAGGTGACCGCGGCGCCTTCGTGCAGGAGGCATTGCTGCCCGTGGCCGTGAACGAGGCATGCCCCCTGTCTCGGCGAAAAACTCGCCGCAACCTTGTCTCCGTAGTTGCCCTTGAAGGGTAACAAACAGGACGAGAGCGAACCGAAAGTTAACGCGCGGAGGACGGCGGAGAGAGGGGAAGGGTTGAGCGGCAGCAACACACACGTTGGAAATAAGGAACAGGGCACTTGAGTAAGCGGGAGAGTAGGGCTGTGTACTGATACGCTCTCTTCCAAGATTTGTTTGAAGCCTCTTGTTCCAATAGGAAATAATGGTACGCAGCAAAGAGCGTCAGCTGCGGCCTCGTGTGCACGTGTCATGCTATGTAGTGAGAGCAGGGATAGGACTATTTCCCCCAAGCTGTATGGCTTCGGGGCACCTCACGTCTCAGGTGTGGCGTTCATTCGCAAAGCGAACACCCCAGGAGGCAAGTAGACGTCTCAGAGGCAAGTAGATGTTGATGTATTGGTAATTAAGTACAAAGCAAACAATGCCAACACGTATAAGCATCCCACGCCCAACGCGGAGGGCGGAGAGCCAAGCCGGGTGAAAGATCCATCCTTCGCTCAACTCCAGAGGAAATCCAAAACCCACAACGTGTCCGTACCACACACGGCGGAAAAACGCCGTCAGCCGTCGTCCAGAAACACAAATCCAATTGACAACCTTAAACTCCACAACGAGGGAGATTTTGGGTGACCCAACACCTCCTCCTCCTCCCTTACCTTGTAGAACACAGTCTCGCCCCCACGAAGCGGCGCCCCTTCCTCCCCCGCGCCGGCAAAGGTCCCACCTCCGTCACTCCTACCCTTCTTCTTCGATCCTGATGCACCACCACCCGCAGCAGCGCCGCCGCCGCCTTCTCCTCCGCCGTTCAAGTAGATGAGGACCGTCCACTGGCTGGTCAGCCCGTTCTCGTCGTCGACGCTTTCATCGATGTGCTTGCCGAACCGTTGCCCGACGGCGTACCGGTAGATGCGGATGTTGGAGTTGCACGCTAACGGTCGCCTGTGCTTGGGGGGGAATGTAGAGCGTGGGAAGCAAGAAGGTGCGGAGACCGAACTGAGAGAGCTCAAAATACTTGGACAAAGAAAACAAGGAAGATAAGGCACTGACTACCACGATTCGTTCGGAGGCCAACGAAGCGATGTTGTACATAGCCGAAAGCTTTTCGCATCCTTCCACGGATGGCGGTGCTTTCTCCGTAAGGGGGTGATTGACGACGACCACGACCGAAAGTATACATGGTTGGACGCGAACAACCCACAGCACTGCGTTTGCTGAGAATGCCTTCCCGATCGGCGACTCATTCGCAGCAAGACGGGACGAAAAAACAGAGAGGAAGGACAACAAGACGCACCTTCCGCCCATGTTGGCCGGCACGAACTTCCCCACCCTTGCGAACACGGCGGCCGCCACGTCGGCGCTGTGCAGGGTTATCCTCCCGTTGTCGCGGTGGGCCATCTCGGACGTCTGTCTATGAAAGCTCCGCTCGAACCCCTGGCCTTCGCCGTACCGTATCCAGGCGGCGCACTCACGGGGGCTCAGCAGGCCGTCGATGCTGGTTGGAAGACGTTGTTGTTGTCGTGTAGGACGTCATGACGAATGGCGGAAGAGCACATCAAGCACTTTACCAGGAAGTACATATTCTTTGCAGATGAAATCCTGTCAAAGGTCCTGTTCAAGTAATGTGAGAGGTGCTGCAGTGGGGATAATGTTGACTGTTTCGCTTGGGTGTCAGGCGTGGGTGGGCGGGGGGACAGGGATTTTGTAGGACCGCCTGTTGCTTGCAAAATGTGGTTTGTTTACATTAGTCTTGCATTGAACATGTTTGTGGGTTGAATAATTAGTGTGAATTGAAACTTCAACCGAGGCGGTTCGCGAAGCAGGAGAATTACCGCTACACTTTGTGTGAAGCGAACCTCATGTTGCACGATGTTCACACGGCGAACACTTCCGACACGATTGCTCCCTAAAACGATTTGGCATTTACGTAGACTATCCGTATGGACAAGTACATTTTTTACATGCACACCGCAAAGCCATTGAAGGTTCAAGGTAGCATCAGCTTGTCGGATTTCATGGCATCATCGCCCCTAATTTACTTACAGCACTTCATTCCCCCACCCACCTCAAAATCGTGTCTTGATAGATGCGCTTCGATGTGAGTTCGAGGTCGACCGCATCGTTCTCGCCCTTGCCGTCGGGTAGCACCAGCGGTCCGTAGACTCTTGTGTGTCGCAGAGTCTCAGAACGACGAGGGTCTTCTGTCCCATCGGTTGTGCGCTTTCCTTTTTTGCCCATGGTGTGGCTGCGCTTGCTGTGTGTGTCTGCTCTGCGACACTAGGCGTCCGCCGTATCGGGTCGGTCTGCGGTGAATGCAATGCGGTGCGGTGCTGCCTCTGCTGCTGTGAGACAAAGAAGGTTCCCCGACGGACGGTATGTTGTATACTTCGCGTGCCCCCTGACGTACTTCATGTGCTGCTTCTACTCTACAAACATAGATAACGATACACACACACCACGTGAAGACTATCTCGGATGCTCCTGCGGCAGATTGGCCTGTTCGGGAGCTTTGTACTCCAAGGCGGAGCAGCGAAACGGGCTTGTGCAGGATTTTCGAGCTGCAGCAGCAGTGGTAGTGCTTTCCATCTTCGATCTCCCGCGGGGTCCTTATTGCGCCGCACTTCCTCCAACCGATTAGCGATGTCAAGCACTTCGGGTGTCGAGCAACAAACAACCAAGGTTGTTGGAGGAATCAAGGAACTGTGTGATTCGTACGATGGGTTCATCCTTGACCAGTTCGGTGTTCTCCACGGTGAGGTTGGATCGGACCCGTCAAGAAAGGGTGTGGCGCTACATACAATCCATCGAACATTTCGAAAATCGTCCATGATTCGAAAGTATAGACATGTTGCAGCCACCGGGGTTCCCGACGCAGACCTTGGGGCTAATTTTCTAACCACATCAATGCATAGGCTGACATGTTGATTCACACCAATAATGGCGAATGAAGTGGCATCGTTTTCGAGAATTTGTATCATGTTGGCGTGTTGAAGTCGTAAAATGTTGCGGTTGAAGCCGTGGGGCAAGAAGACCTCGCTTCCGGGAGGATGTCATTCCGGGATACCGATTTTCGACGCCCGATTCCAGCGCCGTCATTTTCGGTGTGGTCCGTGTCCTTTGTTCTGAAGAATAATCGGGCGCCGAGTACTCTGCAGCACAAACGACAGTGACGGTGCCGAAAATGGCGGCGCTGGGACCGTGGTGTCGAGAGTTTTCCGACCACGTATCATTTGATTTTGGCAATCCTCTTCGTCGTGGAGTAACCAAGCGTTGAAAATCGGTCCAGGGGGTGTCGGACTGCAGTATTAGTATTTACCGTTAGAATCTGAATCGACTCGTACATGTAACCTTGGACTTGAAAAATCTTTGGTCAGCTCTTTCTCCCCGACGAGAAGTTGATCCTGAGGGGTACCGGTGTTTACATCCGTACTGCACACCCAAGCTAGGCATGCTTCAACTCAAGCCTACTGGTAGCCCTGACCCGACGGCGGCGTCACTTCGCACCATCTAGATGCGCTCTGTCTATCTGCTGGTGCTTTCTTGCGATGTTTTGCTTGCTTCCCCCCCCTGCCGCGACCTGCCGTGAAGATGGCAGAGATGCCTTGCCCGGCGCAGTGGAGTGCTTGGAAGAGCTGCGGAGCCAGGGCAAGCGGTTGGTGATCCTCAGCAACACCTCGAAGAGGGAGGACTTCACGATGGCGAGGCTGCCCAAGTTCGGGTTCCGACGAGAGTTGTTCGATGGCGGAGTGACGTCAGGGGAGGTGGGACACCTCACTATGCATTGGCGTACGTCTGGGCAGTAGCCTTCCCAGGGTTTTTCTATCAACTATGTACACGTGTCGGACAAAGCGTGCAATTGGTTCAGTTGGGTTTTGGTTAGGTTAGGGATGGGGTCTTCGTACCCGCTCCCTGTTCTATTCCCTAATGAAATTTAGTAGCTCTCGCGAAGGCGGTCCCGTCTGGGCTGCAACCTGTTGAACGTGTAGCAGCCACTGCTGTGCGGAACGTTTTTGGTATTTATATTTTTTGGTATTTTGGGGCCCTCGCTCTTCTGGGGGGCGATGCACCCACCGACTGTTAGTAGCAGTCATACGTGGTCTGGAGCGTGGGGCGATCTTGTGAGGCATGTTCCCCTACTTGGTGCTGAATGCATACACATTACTCGCAACCGTTTTCAGGAGGGCTACCAGCATCTCGTACAGAACGGGCTCGTCGGGGGAAAGGCTGTGCTGCTGGGATGGAACGGCGAAGATTCGGACGGCTTGTTGGCGGTGCGATCTGTTCATACTGCTGTAATACTGACGTGTTGACGCGATCCCACATGCCAACAGCACGGGTTTCATCCGGACTATATCGTTGGACCAACCCTCTTTTTTCGGTGTGCGCGTCGTTGTTACAGTATCCACAGGCCGCCACTCTTCGCCTTTTTTTTAGCCCTCTTTGAACACTCGATCCCTTAGTGTGCGTCACTCTCGAACCACCCCGTTTCTCAAAGCTCGTTTGCTTACGCTGTTGTTCCTCGTCCCCACCACCCTTCCCCACGTCGATCCCGGTGCCGTATATAAGTTTCCCCGTGCATACTACCCGGCAACACGAATTTCCCTGTTTGTTTGTTTGCTTAGCCCCCCACACATTCTTAGGTATGTGGGGAGGGGGAATGGCTGGCCGGGAGACACCCGGCGGTGAATACACCCTGGCCTATGTAGTAGGAACACACCGACAGGAATCATGCGAGTTTATTGTCTTTAGCTTTTTTGCGGGTAACCGACATGCGACCACGGAAGGCGTCCGTACCAGTTGGACCAAACGGATGTTACAGGGCAGGATACAGAGATCGGAACTTTTTTTTGTGAAGACGACAACAAGAAGAAGAACAACAACAATACTTATCTGTGGTCTCTCCTTTGATCTTTCCTTCCCGTGCCACTGTATTTTCGCGTTTCGTCCGTCTTCGTTTTTCCTCTTGTCGTCACACCGCGTGACCAGGCGCTGTCCCTCGACTACTCGTCACCGAAAGAAGCGACGTTCCTGCTCTGCCACGGGCCTGACAACATCGTGGACGACACGGGCGCAACGCGCACCGACACGCGCAACACCGGCAAGGTCGAGCCTTACGAAGCCGTCTTTCAGGTGGGCAGCAGGACAGACGGGGCTCGTATCGTCTGGTATATTTTCAACAAGGGTGGACCGGCTGGCTTTGCTTTTGATCATGTTGATAACAAGTTGTTCGTGTGAAGTTGTCTTGTCTTTCCGGGGGAGGCGAGCTGGACAACACCCTAAGATGCGTACGGCTGGCACCGAAACAGGAGAGGAAGGTATTTTATCCGCTTAGTGAGGTTTCGTCTTCTGTAGGAAACATAGATTTCCGACTCTTTGAAGCATACCGTTCAGGACCCTGAATTCTCGCTTTTCAACTGTACTTACAGTAGGACCCGAGCATCACTCTTTACAGCCCACCGGCCTGGTCCTCGCTTTGGCTCCTGCTGTGGTGTATTATTCCTGCTATTCTTCTAGGCGGCGATCGAGCGAGACTTGCCCATGTATAACGTTAACCCCGACATCACGGTCAACAACCCGCAAGGAGGGTTGTGGCACATGCCGGGGCTGCTCGCCAAGAGGTACGAGGCGATGGGAGGGAGAGTCACCTACTTCGGCAAGCCGCACAAGGTAAGCGTCACATCTGCTCTCCCTCTTGCGGTTGCGGCAATAAGCCCGCAGACTTATGGTAGTACCGTACCCCTCCCCCCCATTCCCACGACTCCTCACGTCTCTCTGCGCTCGCCGCCTGTTGCCTTCCGTGCCCTTCTGCTGCCGGTGGTGGCGCGACCCCGATCGGGGCGTTGGTTGCCAGGAGCACTACGACACTGCGGTGGAGAAGATGGGTCTGGGAAACGACAGGGTGGTTCATGTACGTCCCAACTGCTGCTGCGTTGTGGTCTCAGGACACGCTTCTTTGCGTGTCAGTTCAAAGTTTTTCCAAACTTTTTATTATTTTTACCGAGTTTTTTTTGTACGCGAGCAACACATTCGGAATAGCGTTCAATTCGAGAGGTTTGGTGCATCCACCGCCGTAGGCCGCTAGCATGTACTCCTGTCGTCGTTTCGTAGGTGTGGTGGTCCTTGAGGGAAAATATGCAGGAGGTTGTCACCTTCCCGTATTCTTCACCTTCCGTCGCGCATGATTTGCCTCTACTAGGTGTAAGGGTGCCCTCTCGGCGTGACTGTCAACACGAAACCCTGGTCAAGCACAAGCGCACATCTACCGACCATGGCTGCAATGTCCACACTGTTTCGTTCTTCTCTCTGACACGGAAAACAGGTAGGTGACAGCCTTGCTCACGATATTGTCGGAGCTTCTTCCGCCGGGTTGGATAGCGTCTTCATCGCGGGCGGCATCTGCGGGGAGGAGCTGGGTATCGACGCCAAGGCCGACAAGTCGACGTTTAACCTCTCCCCGGACGCGCTCGAGAGGGCTTTCTCACGGGAAAACGTAACGCCGACGTGGACGATGCCGCTGTTTGCTTTGTAATATTGTCTCGCGCGGAACAACCTTTTGGTTGCCCTTTCTGGCATTTACTGTAGATTTGCTTATTGTTCTTGTTGGTGGTTCTTGTGAATGTCGCAATGATAAAATTAGAGCAGCAACACCGGGTTTGTGTGTATTCTAGTGTTGGGGACTGCCGGTGAGTGTGCTTGTGTATGGTAGGGTTGCACGCAGCGGGCGGTGGGAAAGCCACACAAAGCTTGTTGAAGCACAAACCAACGCTATGAACCACCACCACATCTTTGGTCCTATTACCACGAACGAAAGGACAGCATTCCGTGCAACGTTTTCGTCGTGCTGGATGAAAATGAACACCAGACGTCGTGCTTGTGGCCAAACAATTGTGGCGAAAGCACGCAAAAAAAACGAACGCACGGAGAGGCATCCGATCGTATATGTGTGTTTTCGACGTTATGTATCTCGCATTAGACTCGACGAGTAGCGACCGAAAAAAGGACAACTGTCTGGCAATCACGCGCTAGAGTACCATTGCATCACCCCCTCACAGAGCGGACCTTCTGCAAAAGTGCCCCTCTCTACTGTATGTACCGAAAGTGGAGAAGTGGCATCGGGACGAGCACTCTAAACAACCCACACGTCATCTGCCTCTATCACAAGAACTACACATAGATTGGACAAAATATAGAATCCACGTAGAAACGTGTTTCACGTATGATGGACAGGGGCATCGACTCATAACTCCGACGTGAACATCGAACAACATTCGCCTCCTCATGATTGTGGTTTCCCCCTGTTCTCATCTGGCCGTGGGCTTGTTGATGAACTTTCTGGTTGCTGCTGTCCATCAGAACCCCCCGGCGCTTCTCGTTCCAGCGCCCTTGTCACGGCCTCGCTGATAATCCCCGTGCACTCGCGGTAGCATTCCATCGTTCCGTGCCAAGGATCAGGCACTTCCGGCTCAAACACAGATACCACAACCGGAAACGGCATTTCGCCCCTCTCCCCGGTGGTGCCCGCATCCGGAGTCGAGTAACAAGGTGGTCCCGGCGATGCTCGGGATGATGGTGGACGATCCAATGGTGGAGAGCTGTGGAGGTCGTGATCGTTAGGCGCATCCCGCCGCAGCAGGCTGAGCACGGAATCGTGGTGGCGCCGAGACATGCAGTAGATGTGGGTCGCTTCCAGCACGTCCGCCTCCGACAGCATGGCCGAGCGGTGCGCAGACATGTCGACGTCATACTTCTCTCGCATGATCGTGACGCCATGGGGACTTGCCGGGGAACCTACAGGTTCGAAGTCAGTCGAGCATCCTGCGATTTTTGCGGAGCGGTGTTTCGCTTTTCATTCGGATGATGGTGCGTGTGGCGTCCGCTTGCTTGCGTGCATTGAGACAGAAACGAAAGTAACAAGCTGAGGTTGCCCATTTATGGCGATATCCGGACTAGTCTACAGCACATACCTCAATTATGTTAAAAACTGCGAAGGGCGTCTTAGGCTTGACACACAGATTATTGGTAGTGGTTAAAATCGGCGGGGTGTGACTCTTACCTCTTGATTTCACTTTGTAACCGGCTTGCTCGAGATCTTGAACGCCAACACCGTATCTTTCGGATAGCCATTTCTTCGCAAGCCCTTCCGCGATCGGAGACCGGCATACATTGCTGTATGGGACGGGTGCCGGCGCGTGAGCAAGAGTTAATTGACAAACAAACACTGCCGTCTTGAAGTCCTTATTTTCATTCGCCAAGATGTGACACATGAACAACGGCATGAGAGAAGACCAAAATATACTTCCTAGCGGTGTGCGTCACGAGGGAAGTGCTACTAAAGGGTCGCGGACATTCTAGAAGAGCGCGGCACGCGGAGGACTCTCGCAGCCGCACCACTCCTCTTCGCGGCATGCACTATGGATCGAGGCACAGAGAGACTGCACATATGTTGTCTAATCGACACGGCAACGGTGACACTCTCTCTATGTTATCTACGTTTGGGCTACGTTACTTCGTCACACGTTACACAACAGAGAATCGGTGCAGCCAAAACTGCAACATTCTGGGACGGAACTTCATACACACTTCAACTACATATTACTTTTCACTATCGTGCGGGTTCCATGCAATATCATTACCTCGTGCATACGAATATGATGTTCATGCGCATCTCAGCTGATGGGGGAGCCAGCAGCTAAACTGTAAACGAGCCAGCAGCCATGGACGGGGATACGAGGAAGGGGACCGAACGATTTTGTTTTGGAGCAGACGTGCAAGCAAAGATTTCACGGGACTGTTGTCCCTTCGTTTTTTTTGCGCAAATCACATTTCGAGGTGGAGCGACCGGCCGTTCCCATGTTCCCATGGGGCGCGACAAGGCACTTTCGAATTAGCATAGCACTTGGTACTTGGCGCACCACAGCACACACGCGATGGCGGAAGCGAAGAAACCAGAAGGGTTGCATCGCCGCTTCTCGGGGGACGGTGGCCGGATAGCGGACTCCAGGTTACCCCCGCCGCTGATTCCGGTGGACTTCGGGTACTGGAAACTTGCTCCAGCAGGGCTTGGTCTCCTGGGCCTGGGGGTGTACGCTGGCTTTCGTAAGCAGGTGAGGTAGCACCAGAGGTACTAATGTTGTAGTAATGCCCGAGAGGTCGCTTACTTGGGTTAAATCACTGGGGTTAAAACAAAAGGCTGTTTCAGGATGTTCTCGACAGGAACACAACCTACGCTGGACACTAGGTACCACACCCCATGGGCTGCGCAGCAGCAACATCTCCTGCTGTTGTAGTTGTATGATGTACCTCGAAGTTAGTATTTGGGGACTGGGGACACCCGGATAGGTTTTATGGCACCACCAAACCTGGCGGAATTTCGCCAGGCGGGCCAGTCTCTGTGCTGTCCGAAGGTCCAAGCATCGCATGTTATGGAAATTGTCAGTGTTGAGGACCCAACAGCCGAGGAAAGAAAATCCAAAACTTTGGGTTGCCCTCTTACGTGCATAGGTCAGTCGTAACATGGGCACTCCCCGTGTGCGCGAAGTTTGCTTGTGCTGTCGGCTTCTTGTTCGACTCCGACTGTGTTGACATTCAGCGTCCAAGTGGGTCAACGGTGGGTATGGCACCCACTTGTTGCCACCGCCGCCGTCGTTCTTCCAGCGTCAATTTCTTTTGGGCCGATTATTTTGCGCTACAATAGTTCCGGACAGTCGCGCTTTAGTGACCTACCGTAAGAGTCGGAGAGTTGGCACCGGGTGCGATCGTTTTTTATTTTTTATTTTTTATTTTTTTTCTTAGTATGACACAACGAATCCATCTCTATCATAGAAAAGAGTCAGAGACAGATTAGCAATGAATTCATAGCGTCAGAAAGTACCTGTACAGTGGGGGCTACGGTTTAAGAGAGCTCAGTTTAAGAGAATTGCCGGTTTAAGAGAGGTCAAAATAGCCAGACACACCTGTAGCCCACCAGCTGCCCCCCAACACTGCAGCTACAGTAGTGCCATCACATAATACATAGCTAGCGAGACAAACGGCTCCCACGGATGCCTTGCGCCGCGGGTTCTCGCTGCGTGGCAACGCCGGACCACCAGCGTCGACACGATGACGTCGGCAGCGCAGCTACGGGAGCAGGCGAAGGAGCGCAAGGTGATTCGGGGGTGCATGGGGCTCGCGGAAGGAGGGCAGCCTCACATCCTGGACGCAGCTGAGCTAGGCCTCGAGGCGTGGAAGGAAGTGTCGGCGGAGACAATCAAGAGGTGTGTGCTACAACATCGTCGTGTGGTTACTGCTGTATAGACTAATTCCCCCCTCCCTTAGACACATACCATTTCGACGTATATTATAGGTTGACGAAATATTGTTCACTGATGCCATCATCGTGCACCTTTTGTTTGTATTTGAAGAAGCGTTTTTTTTCTCTCAAGTTGTACAGCTCGTTCTGTTTTATTTTCACCGTACATGTTATTTTCTCCTTCCCGCGTACTTGGCTATTCTTCGTTTACAAGGTGCTGGAGGAAATGTGACATCCTTCCTCCAGCGGTGCACGCGGACCTCGACCAGGATGTGGGAAAGAATATCCCCAACAAGAAGGAGAATCTCGACGAGCTGACGGACTTGGTGCAGCGTCTTTCTCTGGAGGCGAAGAAGACAACTAACTCTCGATGAAGACCTTGGCGAGGCACTTAAGGGTCTGGGGTTAGCACCTGGCGCAACGCCAACCCAGGCTTCCATGGAAGCGGTGCAGACATGGTTGGGTGTAGAGGAGAAAGCGGACGTGGCGGAGGCCATTATTGCAGATCTGAAGGACGATCTTTGTGAGGAGTCGCTTGCCCAACTAAACTTAGACCAACTGAACCTAGACTCGGACGACGACGAGGCCGACTCTTCGGCGGGAGACGAGGGCCAGTGTACGCAGCCCCTGGTCTCTCCTCGTCCGCCACCATACGCTGACGTATCTAGGCAATTCGGGGACCTCGAAGAAATAGCAGAGAGGTGCAGCATGGCCGGGGTAGCGTACCATCTTCGCAAGGCGAAGTTAGCCTGGATGAGCGAGGCTGGGTCAAGGAAAACGAAGCAAACATGCATGGCAGACTTCATGAAACGTTAGTTGCAGAAGAGAGAGGCTGCCAACAGGATGATTTTTTTAAGGGTAGGGTGCACTACTTGTACTGCTGTAGGTGCTTGAGTCACTGGTCTTCAGTTGTTTGTGGGTGTGATGCTCACGTCTCTGTGTTCTGTTGGCAGCTGTCCTATGATATACACTGCTGCTGTACATCTTGGAATTGCATCGGTTCTTTGCTACTGCTGTTTGCTTCGTACACAACAATAAGGAGGGATCACGCTGAGTGAGGGCCCTCTAACGCACGAAAATATTGTGGATCACAAATTAAAAAAACGTTTCATCACTTCGATCAAGTTAGACCCTGTTAAAAGCCATATATTCGGTTTAAGAGAGGTTTTCTCTTGAACCGAAAGTTCTGTTTAACAGAAAACCTCTCTTAAATCGGATTAAGAGAAGGTCGTGTTTAAGAGAGGTCTTCTGGATCACGCACACCCCTCTCTTAAACCGTAGCCCCCACTGTATGTCTACGATTTCCCAGACAGCATATAGGGACATCTCCCCTGCGGGTAACAGGCTCAACAAAACAGTTTGGTAGCTGTCTTGTGTGTCTCATATACGTTATGTTGGGAAGGTGCAGAAGAGAGGTGTTAGGTACTGTTGGGTAGTCGGGCGTTTTGTGTGTGGCACCCTGTTAGTCGTAGGGCATGCAATCTCCCTCAGTTTTCAAACGTATTTTCAGTGTGGTACGCATATGTACGGAGTATGCATATGTGCGGACACATTTCGGAGTATGTGCGGACACACGGGAGTGGTCTCACCATCTTTTATTTTTCTTTATATGACACAACGAATCCATCTCTATCACCTTTTTCTTACCGTTTTGTGTAATTTCGTGTCGTTAGATGTGCAAAGGGCACGGGAGAACATTCTCTCATCATTGCCTCCTGACGTGGTCGCCGATAGAGGCGTGTGGTTGAGGTCTCATCACCGACATGTGGGTGTGTGTTAAATGCAGTGGGTATGGGTACCTAACTCGCCCGTGTGTAGGCAGAAGGTATGGCTACCTCTCCCATTTGTAGGCAGCGTGGACCACAAGTAAAGACAGGGTTGATCATTTGATCATTTCATGCATCCTACATCATTTGTATTTGGCATGGGAGGAATGAGAGGTTGTTCTAGTTTGTAAGCAATTTTGACGGTGTGTGTATGGGCCGGGGGAGTACTCCCTGTGTCCGTGTTTTCCTCGGGTTTTTTATCGCACCCCGGCGCCATCTCTCCGACCGGTGCCATCTCTCCGAACCCGGTGCGGAAATGCAATTAAATCATTTCGTTTAGAATTTTCAAGGCACCCCGGTGCGATCTCTCCGACCGGTGCGATCCCCGATGAAATAAATACACACAGGTGTTGCACCCCCCGGTGCGATCTCTCCGACAGGTGCGATCCCCGATGAAATGCACACAGGTGTTGTATGCACGCACCCCGGTGCCATCTCCCTGACCGTTGCCACAGTATTGATTGGCACCAGTGTAGGTACCCACGCACGCACACGGTCTTCTGCACACACACGCATGTATATGAGCCGGTAAAAAGGCGGCGAAATACACATACATCAAACCCCGAGAAAAGCGGCGAAATAGCGCATCTGAGTTCGTACCAGTACACACGGTATCAATTGGTTCCCGCTTTCGTTTCGGTCTTCTTCTACGGATACCAGTACGTACGCAGAAGTATAATAGCTTCGGGTTGTGTAACGTGGGGTAGGGTGCGGCTTGTACGTTGTGTATTTGGTTGAGTGTACGGTTGGCAATTTCTACAAATACCAAAAAATATATGAAAGCAACTGGCATCCCGCGTGAACCGCGACCATCCAATCGTACGTAAAGGAGTGGCGCTCCGCTGACTCCGTCCCCACGTGTAAAAGGTACACACACGTGCCTCATTCCGGCAGCTGAAAAGGAGTTCAATCTTGGATTTGGGGGTCGGAGAGATCGCACCGGGTGCGATCTCACGGACCCCGGTGCGTGAATCGAAATAATTTTTTTTTTTCTCGTTTTTTTTTTTCGCACCCCGGTGCCATATCTCCGACCGGTGCCATCTCTCCGGCCCGTGCCAACTCTCCGACTCTTACGGTATGCATAGTGTCTTGCAATGGTGGCATTGGTCGGTGCTCGATGCTGCGGCCATCGCCACCCCACGTCCCGCGATGGACGGGCTTCATTTTCGGTGAGGTTTCAAGACAATCACTCTCGTCCATGGCGGGACCCAAGAGTAGCGGTGGCCGCAGCATCGAGCACCTAGCAATGCTATCATTACAAGGCACTACTGCTGTAGGACACTAAAGCGCGACTGCCCGGAACTAGCGCAAAACAATCGGCCCAACCAAACCGGGGCAAGAAGAAACACACACTGGAAGAACGACGGCGGTGGCGGTGGCAACAAGTGGCGCTCGCACCACAACCCGCGGACCCACCCGGACGCTGAATATCTCCATGAACAGTCGGAGACGAAGCCGACAGCACAAGCAAACTTTGCACGCACAGGGAGTGCCATGTCACGACTGAAACTGCCTACCGCAAATTTTGACTGACCCGTGCTACGAAACGTGCCACATCCTACAGTACATCCCGCATGCCACGTGTCACAGCAGTGTCTGAACGGCCCGGTTTACACGAGCAGTTACCAGCTGATGTTTACGCATGTCGTTCGGACGTTGTTGTATCACAGGTGCCACGTTCACATAGTATCTGCGGTTGACCTATGTGCCAATACAGCAAGTAGGTGCGCACCTTCTTACACTGACTTGGGCCACCAAACACACCCATGCACACTCCTTCACCCCCCCCCGTCCCGCCCAACCCCCTGTCTCACAACGCGGACGGAGCTACACTAGATTAAGGCCGATGCGGTAGGGGCTGAAGCTCTGGCTAAGCAAGGGCTCGAGCCGCTGCCTTTCAGCCCGCACCGGCTAGCCACGCGGGCGCTCATGTACGGGACGGCACTCTCCGTGGGCTGTTTCTCGGCCGGCGTCTTGGTCGTGGGTTACTCCATGGGGGTTACAAACGTGAGTGCTCTCTTCTTTGTGAAGCGTCAGGCGTAGCAAGAAATCTTCGTTCGTGGTACACTCGGACATCCACCGCGTACAAGGCAACTCGCTCTTCGGTGTTGCTGGAATCTTGCCCCACCCTTCCCCTCAGAGAAAAGGTGTTGCACCGCATGTTCCTCCTCCGCCCCCTCTCACGCCGCCGTGTTTTGGCCTGGCCTGGCGGCACCCTACACCGGCATCCCGACTCGCAGCTGAGAGAGTTCAACGACAAGATGAAGGTCTGGGCGCCGGAGCAGATGCACCGCCTGGGGTTTCGACATCGTCCAGAATACATCAGAGATCGCGAGGCCATGCGGGGCATGACGTATGACGAGGAGGTGACGGGGGAACTGTGGCGCCTGCGCTTTGAGGTCGCCTTTTGATATCCTCTGTAGCTCGGACAAGTGTAACTTTTCCTGTTTACTGCGTAGTTCCATACCCAACCTACGCGTGTTCTGCTGGCACATAGCATGACCTGTCAGTGTATTTCATGCTGGCAGCGAACCTATATATATACGCGCATGATTTCTCTGCAGGGGATGGGAGATCTGCGCTGTTTCGAGGGAAGTTCGCTGTCGTCGCTGTTGATGTACACCTCGGTCCCGGGTGCATGCAAATTACCTATCGCCTTGGTACTGCTGTAGTGACGGTAGGAAAAGCCGCTGTAGTGACGGAAGGAAGAGCCAGCCCGTTTATTCTCTGATTGTTCTGTAGTCAAACAAGTGACGTTCCCCTCAAATGCAGCGCCCGGCTACAACCTCAATAGATCATCCCGAAGTTTTCCGCAAAAAATCGCGGCAAGGCTCCGTCTGCTGCAGGAGCACCGCGGAATCGAAAGAAAATATGCACACCATGGATACGGTATTGAAAGGCAAGATAAGAGCTGGAGTCGTGGACGCCCGTCCTGACACCTGTCCAATATCGCGGCGGGAAAGATGCTCTCTTCTCTGCTTGATTCTCATTCTTGCTGCCCTATTTGCAACTTCACTCTTCTGTTTCCGCTTCCAAGTGGGAATATGTGGACAGGTTGTTGGAGAAGGAAGAACCCGGGTTTGCTGGCGCGGACAGCGCGGAATGCCCACCGGCGAAGAGCGAAGGCGAGGTTGTGCGGTAGCGACCAACCGCCATGCTAGAGGGAGCGGCGGTGTGAAAGACACGATCACCCACCGGGAGGGTGGTGCTCGAAAGGGTGTACAGCAGTGGGGTGCAGAGAGGTCTTACTGTGTTGTGCTCCATCCGCTGAGTACGGAAGCAACAAGAGGGCTTCCGCTGCGATTCGTCGATTCACGTCATCAACAACGGCAGCAGCCCCCACCCAGTTGGACCAGTCCCTGACACTTGAGACGACGTAAAAAAGATACCTGTAGCATTCGACCCCCAAAAAATGTTTCGGGTAGCAAAGAACCTCCGATGTTTACGGCAGGTTGTGTTGGGTGTGTCTCGCACAAGTATGCACCATTTGCAGGGAACTCGACTGACGGATTGAGTTCAGGTAGCAGATTGAAAGCGGGCACGTATAGTATGTAAAGTTCAGGGTGAGGCAGCGCGGGGTGATGGATAAGTTTTGTAAGCTTTGGTGTTTGGCGTGCCCCGTAAACTAGGTGATGCTGGATAGCAACGCGCGCGCTTATGCGTGCGACAAGAACTTCGAAGGATTTTGACAGCTACATTTTAAATTCCAAACCCTGTGGTGATTTGACCATGAATCCATGAATTCCGGAAGCGGGGAGGGCACCAGAGCGCAACCCTTAAGGGCGCATGGCAAGGAATGCTCATGTGGCTTGCGAAACTGAAGACCCAATTCAAACGCGTTGTAAAAATCACACAGTAGAGCGTAGTGCGATACTTGACGGTCAAAGCAGGCACTATATTCTCGTGCAAACGACGCTAAATTTATCGTGGTATTGGAAGCCGAACGGTCGTCCTTCCGCCACAGGCTACAGCAGAGCTGCGGTAGTGATGGTTCAATCTACGTCCCCGCGTCCGCCTCCTAGACCCACCCTTTCAAGGGTGCGCACCTCTGGTCATCGACTTGCTGAGGATAAAATCTACACCTCGCAATTCGCCACTGAGGGATGACGACTTCGTCCCGAGATCCTCACGGGTATCTCTGAGAGGCGTCCCATCTGTTGCCACCGGAACCTTCCCACTACTATCCCCGCAGCACTCCTCTTCACGAGATAGTACCTCATCCGCTGCCCACGGGAATTCTCCGCCTCGACAAGCAGCACTCCTGAGCTCTTCCGCTGTCGAAACGTCCCCGCCCGCCGCTAAACCCTGGAGCCCAGACCCAGAGTACGCGAGGACCGAGGAGTCTCCGCCGCCGCAGGAGGGGGCACCAGGCGACAGCAAATTCGCCGCTCCCGACGACCCATGATCGTCCTTCGCATCAAGACCGCCGCCGTTGGGATCGCTACCCTCCACCCCCCCCTGAGACAAGAACACGGCCAGCTCGGGTCCTGAAACGACCCGGGAAGCGTTGTTGCTACTAACACCGTCTTCGTTGTGACTTCTTTCTTCGCCGCCGCCGCCGCCGCCGCCGCTAGTCCTCTGCTCCTCGTCGTCGCCTCCGCTCGGTCGCTGCTTCGACTCCTCGCCGGAGCTGGAGCTGCTCTCGCCCCACCCGGAGTCCGTGCTGGCGTCATCTCCTAGCTCGAGAACCTCCTGGATGGTGTGTGGGGGGGAGGACAAGAAGGAGCGCGAGCGTAAAACATTGGTGTGCAGGAGGAGCACGTCGGGTACTGTAGAGCAATCAAGCAGGAACGCAACTTGTGAAACTTGCTGAGCAGTGCTTCTTTCGGTACGCGTCCACCTCCTGAGGACAACCACTTGAGGGCATCTGTCTCCGTAAACACTGTCACGACAACCGAACCCGAAGCCAAACCACAAACCTGCTGCATCAGCTCTAACATTCGCGCGTATTCCTCCTGTCCCGCGCGCCCCCCACCGCCGCCGCCCCCCGCCACCGCCGCCGCTGTTCGCTGAGAGTTGTACGTCGCAAGGCCCGGGTGCACCCCTTCCATGGCACCCGCAGCCTCGCCAACCGCCGCGTGCTCCCAATTCCACAACGTGGACGATGACGACGACTTCGACGACCCTCTGCTGACAACGTTCTCTTCTTCGCCCCCCTTCTCTTCTTCCGCCCCCCCCCGGCCAAACTCAGCGGCGGAACCCCCACCCTCGGAGAAAACTCTTGCCCCGCCTGCTGCCTCTGCCCCTCCTCCTCCTTCTGCCTCCCATACCCTGCCCTCCTTCTCAAAGTCTAGGCCAATATTTCTACGGGCCGCGACTACGGCAACGGCCGCGTCGTCAAACCCGACCACCTCTCCTGCCCCCTTCTCCTCTCCTCCCGCTGCTAGCGCATCGTGGTCCGTCGACCGTCCCTCCCCGTGCCTGCGGCTTGGTCCCGAGGGCACCAGGACAGAGAAACCGTCGCCGTCGTCGTCCTCGTCGTCGTCTTCATCACGACCGACAGACCGCCTCGCCCGTTGGTCCCGCCTACTCTCCGCGATAAAGTCACGAAGGCTCTGTTGCCGCTTCGCGGGTTCCCTGCGTGGAGACGATACCACAGCGCAGCCAGCGCATCGTTGAAGCAAAGGGCGAAGGGGACACAGGGCTACATTGCTGTACCTTGTAGGTCGAACAAGTAGAGCGTTGAACAAACACGCCAGGCAAGCGAGATCCTTCCTAGAGCGGGGTGGATGAGAGGATGGCAAAAACTAAAAACCAATTGCGGGTTGGCCGTGCGGGTTGACCGAGCGGGCCGGGGAAGACAAGAAAAAAAACATCTATTTATCAGGGGAACCGCAGCAGCATGCCCAGCGCCACACGGCCATTCCGAGGGAAAATCCACGCCTTTCGACGCCCTCACGACCAAGAACGACGTCAACTACTCCGACATCACAACAAGCAAACGTTTCTCGGCACAACCTCATCCAGCCAAAACCACCGGAGAGGAAATCGACACAACGACAGCACAACCCAAAAAAACCGAGGGCAAAACTGGGCCATACACTAAAAAAAGAAAAAATAACACCAAAACATTTTCCACCCCCGATGCGCCTTACCTCCTCGCCCCTGCGTTGAGTTCACCCTCCTGGTTGCTGCTGTCGACGTTCTTGAAGTCGCTCCCTGGTCTTCTCCGGCGGCGAGTCGAAGCGTTTACGGACCCCGAACGCGCTCCTCCCTTCGGGCAAGCGACTCTATGTAGGGGTGTGCCTCGACACCGCCCTCCTCGTGGCTCGGACGCCGGGGGTCCCGTGGCGCGGTCAGCAGGCCGCCGCCCCCCGCCCCCAGCCGCCGCCATGTCTCTGGGAGAGCTCCACTCTTGTCGTGGCAGGAGCGGCTCGTCCGGTTCCGGTTCGCCGCGCGGTGCTGCGCCCTGCGGCGACGCTTCCCCGCCCGCCGCGGCCTTGGCCTTCTCGATGCTTGACCTCCGTCTCTTTTCCGCGATCAAAGCCCGCAGCTTGCCTCGCTCGCGGTCGCGGGTGGCGCGCAGAGCCTGCGCGACACGAATACAAAATCGTGTTGGGGGCAACCAGTGTGCTGAAATGTAAACCTAACGGCGATTGTTTGTACAACGGCACCCAATACATACAGGGTGGTACGCAAGCTTTGCGGCCGCTCCGTGGGGAGAAGGCACCATCCTGTGGTGCCCGGCGACGAAAAGAGAACTAACTCGCGTGAGAACATGCCAGGCGCTGGTGCGCTACGCCGTGCCTGGGGGTTGGCGACCAAGAACTCAGTGAAGTGGTGGGGGCACGCAACAATATTTCGAGAGGGGGATGCCGAACGAGCGAGTGCTCGCCGCCGCTGTTACGATACATTCCAACGATTCCCTGGAAATCTTGCACCACCGCGATAAGATCGGCTTGACGGGACGGGACACACCTGCACCCTCTCTTCCGCGGAGGGGGGGTGAGCCTCGAGTCCTCTTCCTCCTTCCTCGCCGTCGCCGTTACCGCTGGGTGCCCTTACCCCGCTTCTCGCCTTTGCCCGTGGCCGGTTGTCCGAATGCCGTCCCAGCTCGGCCGCCAGCGCAGCAGCGTGTCTTGGACCCCGAGTACCGAAGGCAAAAAAAAAACATCCAGCAGGTTTGCAGCGGAGGAGAAAAGAGCAAAGTAAGATGTGGTAAAAAAACGCAAGCGCTACGACCTACAAAAACCGATTGCGGGTCGAGGGAGAACGCCACAAAAAGCAGTCTCTTCGACATCAGGTGGAGGATCTAACAAACACCGTTTGCTTCACTTGATCGTGCTCTTGATACAGCACGACTTGTACAACCAACCATATTTTCCGCAGCGGAGATTGAGTACCTTGGAGGCTTTCTCTCGCTACGGCTAGAGACCGGAGGCTGCCCCGCCGCTCGCCCTCCGCTCCCTCGCTGAGCCGGCGTCATGGCCACCTTCACGCCCCCGGGACCCCCAAGGCCCGAAGGCTTCGCCCTCGCCGCCCCGCTGCCACTGCCGCCGACGCCCTCTACAGGGTTGCCAGCCTCCTCGTCGCCGGCCTCGTCGGACGTAGGGGGACGAAGGCGGTCTCCTTGGTCCACGAGGAGGTCGCCGTCGCTGCGGCAGCGCCTCACTTCGGGAGTCTGGTTGTTCTCCGAAGTTGCGGTGTGCTGATACATGCGTACGTGCACAGACACACGAAGAGACGTGCGGAATTGTTGTTCCCTTCTTGGAGTGTGGAAAATCGCAGGTCCGGTGCGGTGTAAAAAGGAGCACCGGGCACGCGTACACGAAAAACAAACGGCTCTCACCGCGGAATGAACACGAGCGCTCATGTGTGAGACGGTCACTACGTAGTGGGTAAAACGCCGAGGCCCCGACCATACAATACAACACACAGAGCAAAACATTTGCAGTCATGAGCCATGAAACTCGCCATCACGCCCATTTTGCATGTATGGCTGGGCCAAAGAAGACCAATTGCTTGATGCCGTGCTTGCGTGCCACGCCACGGATAAACTGGCACATCGATCGCCGATCCTCCGCCCATAGAATGTGACCACTGCTGTTGTTCGAGCCAGCAATACAGCATTAAAAGAACCAACACTCGGATTGCCACGCAGCTTTACCACGCCGTGTTGGCTGCAAAGGCAGTGCACCTACCGCCGGGATGGCAGCCAGCACCTCCGCTGCCGCTTCCACTGCAGCTGCCGCCGCTTGAAGTCTGGCCGTCTGCTGCGAGAAGGAGGAGTCAGATCGCCGCAACAAGCCCGCAGAGCGCACAGAAGCTTCATCATCATCATCATCGTCATCGGCTTGTTCGTCGTTGTGGATGCCGCGAGGCGCGCGCTGCTGCCTCATAGGGTAGCGGGGCGGCGGCGGTGTCTCGAAATCTCGATGGGATTTTGCTGCTGCGACCGGGTCCGGCCTGCTACTGCCGACGTAGTCCTCCCGGTCGCCGTCTCTCCGTCGCGGCGTGGACGTCGGCGGAGACTTGATCTGCTCCACCTTTTTCGAAGGGTCGCAAGTGGAATGGGAACGCGTGTATTTTCCGGAGGATGGAAGATGATACCCAGTGCCAAAACGGTTCGCGAGAAAGCTCAACATAGAGAAGCATAATACACTGACATCCAACGATGAGAACCTCAACGAACACCTCAAGACGCATGTTTTTGCATGTGCATGTGCTTCTCCAACAACGGCCAAGCTCTTTCAGGTGAAACGGACGAACCCTTTTACCCGCCGCAACCCACCGAAAGCCGAACGGCAAGGACATACACACGCGCCCACACCTGCTTCTTTATCGCGCCCATCTTGGCTTCGAACGTCTGGAACCACCCGTCGTCCACCCCGAGGTTAACCTTGACCCTTACCCCGCCATCTCCGCAACCGCCTTCCGCATCAACAGCCTCCATCGGAACGTCGCTGCCGGGGCCTTGCGCGATGCTCTTTGCCTCCTGCCCCCTGCCGTCCATCGACACAGCCTCGCCTCGACAAACGCCCCCGGCCTTCCGCTCGTTCTCGGGGGCGGGGGCGGCATCGCCGCCAACAGCATCGCTGGGCCCCTTCCGCTCGGCCTGACGGGGAACGGTTTCCGCAACGGTCTCCGGAACGGTCTCCCGCTGGGCCTGTCCCAGCCGACGGCGATATTCTCTGGCGTTCTCGGCTTGGTTAATCTCCCCATCGCTGTCTGCGCCTCCCTTGTCGTCGGCAGGAGCGGTCCCGCGGTTGCCATCGCGGTCGTGGTGACGGTTGGTTGCATGTTTCGACTCCGACGACGGTGTTGGCGCATTTCCCGTTTCGGCCGAGGGCTCTCCTGGTACCGCCGTCCTCTCGCCAGACTCACGGCAAGGCGTGGTGACTTCCTCCCCTGGCCGAGAACGATCGCGACAGCTCCTGGTCGACTTCACCTCCAAGTTGCTCTGCCCGTCTTCCTCGGCGTCTTTGTCCGGGCTCCCGATTCCGAAGACGGCCCTCGCCGCTCGCCGCCGCCGCACCAACTCCAAGGCCGCACTCATCTCCTCGACCCTGTACTTCGCGGCACCCACGACCCTCTCTGACCTCAACCCTCCCCCCACCACCCCCCTCCTCTTCGCTTGCGCTTCCCTGTCCGGCCTCTTCGGTTTCGCGGGGCCTTCTAGGCCGCCCCCGGCCGGCGAAGCACCGCCGCCTCCGCGCATGTTTTGAAGGCGTTGGAACACCCGCTCTTCCCGAGCTCCGGCTACACCTCCGCACGCGCCGCGAACGTCCGGACCCTCTTCTTCGGCGGGCAACATAGCTCTCGCAGACGGCCGGCGGGGTCTCTGAGCCTTGGCGTCGCCGTCGTACTGGGACCCGCGGCGGTGGGGGGGGGGG